TTCGTGACGGATGTTGACTCATCAGTGAGTATCCAACCATACACCGTACCGGGTATGATGTACCGCAAGGCCTCTCTAGTACATTAGTACATAATATCGCAATGGTACACAGTGAGAATTTAATAAATAAATTAAAATGATACAAGTTGTTATGAGTATTAGTTATGAGTTAGATTTACAACAATTTAAACATTTTTATAAATAAATATCGTTGAAAGTATTGGAATAATTTCATTTCTTATAATAATACTAGCCTGTATTAGCCTACTGTAGCGCAAAGTAGTCTTCACATACAGGGAGTAAAGAGCATTAATCACAACACTTGCTTAGTGCATGTTCGTGATTTCAGATTATAATGTTCAGTACATATTCCTCACTATGCTTTCTTTCACCGAGTCAGTAATGTCTCAAGTTGTTGAGCATAAATCTGTTTGAAGAATATTGGTACATAACATACCAGCGTATTTATAATATGAATGTATGAATATAAATTTATAAAATGATTTATCGTGAAACGGCTTATAAGTTCAGTGTTTTCCTGAATATTTTAGATTTGAAGTGTATTTTTGTAAAAGAAACGAATTTAAAAACATAGAGGCGCTCCCTTATTGAATTTGGCGTTTCTTGATGTGTCTTCAACGCTGATCGACCAATCATATGCTATTATTATAGCTTCTAATGGACCGAGTGACGTCATCCAAGATGCCACCAAGGCGGCAACCAAAGTGACTGCTGTTTGAATTGATTCTTAGTTATTGGAAATTAATATTTTATTTCATGTCACTAAAGAGGCATAAAAAGTTAAAGTGATTTTTTTCGTGTGATGGAAGTCATGATAAATAGATTTATACAATTAAACAATCATGTTATTCCCTATTATTATATTTTAAAGCATTTCAAACTTAGTAACCTTCAACAACATTATCGATACTTTGGTATCGAAAGGGTAACATTCCTAAAACGATCTTATATTTTAAGTGTCACCTACTGGGGAATAGCTAAAATGTTGTCTTAATAAATGATAGCGTAGTTTTGCTATTTTTAGCTAGATGGCGTCACACACACACGAGCTTAAAGTTTTATTTTTTTATAATATAGAGTGACAAACGAGCACACAGTCCACCTGATGGTAAGTGGTTGTTATGGCTCATAGACATCTACATTTATCCTCGTTTGCGAATCAAAATGCAGATGCATTGCCACCCGTGAGGACTAAGATAGAATGCCTCGCTTCCAGTAAAAAGGGTCTCCGGTTCTCTACACTCACCATACGAAACACAGCAGTGTTAAGCTGCTATTTGACGCAGGTATTCTGTGAGAGCGTGGTACTTCCCCGGTCGAGTCGACCCATTCGTGCTACAACTATACTACTAATATAGCTGCAGCATGGCTCTACCACGTACAAAATTTTTATTTGTATATAAATTTTCCCAATGCCCGCTCTATAGTAAATATATATTTTAAATCTCTTTGTATTGAAGGTTATACTAACTTTTGCAAATAAACTTCCCTTCATACTTCATTCAGGCATAGGACTGAGTGCATTTTGTTTAGATATAATTGTTATAATTATTGATTTTATAATTAGCATGGAAATTTATAAAATAAAGTTATGCAGGCGTATTTAGAAGTTTGTTTAATTGTATACCGGGTGTTAGTGAAACGCTCCCGAAAACGAAGACAGACGATAATAATAACGATAACTTTGATGATGGGTCAGAAAGAAAATCGATCCCGAGGAAAAAAATAATCTTTTCACAACTTTTTATTACCTTTATTCACGCTCCATCATGTTAGTACAGATAAATGAAACGATAATTTCATTTAAAAAAATCTACAAAATACTTAAACATAAAACCAGCAGTGACAGTTAAAATAAAATTAGCTGAAATTAGGGTCAATATTCTCGCGGAAGCCGAACTCTTATCTAGCTCGGTGAGAAACAATGCCTACTTTCTCTACCCTTCCCTTTCATACACGCGCTACCGCCGCCCTGCTGACTCGTGTTGCCTCGCGCTGTGGAATTTACACATGTGAACTTTGCCAACATGTGGGTAATTCCCACAATTGCGGGGAATTTAAAGATGGTTGGGGATTTTATGGGAATTGATATTATGCGGGGAAAATACGGGGATTTTGAAAATCAATGACCAGGGCCAAGTCAGAACCTTTTTTCAAGAAGTCTAAATACTTAACATTTTGTTAGCTTACATATGAATATCGAATGAATCCCTTTTTTTAATTATCTTCATTGCACCGCATTTAATTTTCGGATTTATTGCGGCAACTTTTGTGTATCATTTAATGCTTTCCATTTCTTAAATTTTTATTTTTAAAGAAAAAAAATTTTTAGTTAAAAAGTAAATCTTCTAAAATTATTTGAAATTTGTTTCATACCTTAAAATATAATTGTAGGGAATTTGTCAGGAATCTGTTGAAGTTTTGTCTTTAAATTGCAGAATTTGACAGGAATTTTCGGGGAATTTGACAAATTGGTGTTGGCAACGCTGCCATGTTGCACCGAAATTTACCTACTAAGATTTGTTTGCCAGCGACATAAGAATTAGAGGCGGCAATCACTATAAAACTTGGAAGTAATTTTTAATAATTTTAATGTACCTCTTTTTAAATTCAAAGTATTGGCCGAATTAAATACGGAAAGTCAAGTAAAATAATTATTTTTCACATTAATTCTGATAGATTAATTAACTGTCGATCATAATTGCAATTGATTTTAACTATTAAATTATTCAGTACCATTTCATTTATATTTTCTTATACAAAATAAAAGAAAACGATGAAATAGTGTTTATAATTGTGTAAGTGAGTAGATACTGAGTCTAGGAACATTATAATATTAGTAGATATTTTTTGTCTAATATAGCAGCAGACTGCTGTCGTATTTTCATAGCTAATTGAATGGCATATTTATTAGAATCTATCTAGCCGTTTGACTGCACAAGGAAATAAAGAATGTATAGTAAAATTATTTTGTCCTTGTATTTGGGGTCATAAAACATAGCTCGGCCTCAGTCCGGCTAGGGCGCTGAACATGTTGCGCGGGCGCAACGCCATTATCGATAACAAAAAATGAATCATCGAAGGCAGGTGAAAGGCAGATACGGCGGCGGTGCGGTATACAAAGGATGGTGCGACATTGTTATGTTATGAGTCATTTGTTTTCCATTATTACCCCCGCCGCAATTATGATACTATTTGCAGGTATTACTGCAAATAGTATCATCATTTTATCGCGACGGTGAATATCCTTCCACGGCTAAAATTTTGAGTATTCCAGTGTTCTATTTCTTCTATGCGTAAAATACTCATAGAACTTGGTTACAAGTACACCCAAGCTCCAGATGGTCGTAAACAATTGATAGAAAGGACTGACATCGTTTGTGCGCGGCAACGATTCCTGAGAAAACTCAAGACCCTGAGAGATAGTGAAGACACTCGACCAAGAATTTATTTTGATGAGACTTGGGTGAACCAAAATTACAGCCGCAAACAAATTTGGCTAGACAAGGCGGCTTAGACACAAAAATGGGAAAGGGGGGCAGACTAATTAGTAAATATTCTTTCATTTTTTATGTAAGAATTACGACTCAATAATAATTTAATACAAAATATGATATTCATTTAATTATGTTGCTTACTTAATTATTATGCTGTGTGTTGTGTATGTTGTAGAAATGAAGTTGCCACCAAAACAGCACTTTTAAAATGTCGAATGTCGCAGATGTCGAAATGTTACTGCATGAAGCAATTTCAAACGTTTCGCAAAAGAACTGGAACGATTGTGTGAAGCATGCAGAAAAACTCCAAGAGGAAGGCTTGAAAACGACGACGATGACTCTGATGATTCTGATGTAGAATTTTAATGTAAACAGTTTTAGATTTAATTTTGGATATAAGTTATTATCTTTATATTTATATTTATTTTTAATATAACTTCTTACATTCCAAACATTTGTACTTATAGGTTTTTTTAATACATAGATACCTAATTAATAATTTATTTTAAATCGTTATTATTATTATTTTAATAAATACATTGTTTTAGCTATTTTTTTAATTATTATCAATAACCCACATAATGACAAAACTAAATACACTATCGATAACCCTTATCGACAACAATAGTGCACATCACTATGCTCCCTCCTAAGGCCCGTGAGTAGGAGAGAGAGTGAAATACTCCGAAGATTTATGACCCAAACTTCACGGACAAAATAATTCTAGTATAGTAATTATAACTCCAGTCAACTTCCTAATAGCAGATTGGCACCGGGAGATGACCTTGGGGGACTTTAAGGAAGCGAGATGGTTTAATATCTATCTCCCTCGCACGTTATGTTATCTTGCCATGAAAGAAATATTATTTTAAATGACACATCATTTTAATCATTTTTTTATTTAATAATTATAATAATTTATTATATAATATATTTCGTTAAACATATATTTATTACGTCTTTATTGAAGTAACAAAATGTATAAATATGAAACTGCATACTATAATAAAAAGGCAAGTTATGGCAACGGCAAATAAACAAAATTACAAATGGCAGAATTCCCTGAGTTTTTGGCGGGAAATTGACCGGCGGCGGTTTGCTGCTCCTGTATTATTGTTTAAATAATGGTTTGAAGTGGACTTTGATATGTAAAAGTGTTGCGATTTTGTGTATTAAGTGTCTACGCATGTGAACTATTAGTGGAAACAGTGAAACAAGTGCTCTGATGGTGATGGATTCTCAAGATAAGCTGTTTGTTTGCACAGGCACCTTTAGATACCATCGCCAACTATCAGCTGTCTGCTGGATCAAGTTGCCGCCAAAATCTCCCAAGAACTGCACAATGTGACGCATCAACATATTGTGAAGCAGTATACTATGAAGGAGTGGGGAAATTACAATAAACCGAATAAAAATACTTAAGACTTGGCCTAAAGGTCTAGATACCAGGCAATAAACTCCAAAAAAAAAATTACAAATGGCAGATCCCTTGCACTTGCGGTTGTGTTCTTTCTTGTTTATTTGTGTTGCAAATTAAGTTTATATTTCGATATAAACTTATTTCTTACATTATTAACGTTGAGTTGAACATCCCGTTCCTCCGTTTTAGTGTTTACAGTGAGAAAGAGACTCAAAAACGTGCTGTGCATTGTGCTAAAGAGACAGAGACTCAATTTTATCTTTCATCATGAAAGAAAACGCAAGGAAATGTTACAAGTGTGCATGTTCTCCTGCTCATGATCGTAACATCACTTTGTTTTCCTAAGCCTGGGAGAACAAATAGCTTACGGTACGTATGCTAAATAGCTTTTTGATTACTGATTAAAACAGTTTTAAAATGTTTAAATTAGAACCATTGAATTAATAAAGTAACAGAAATAAAAATTATTATGGGCCGCATCGGCTAACGATATAAAAACGTGTGCAAATAAATCTGAAAATTAAAGAGAAATTATGCAGAACAGCATGAGATGTATCACATAGAAATAATAATATAATAAAGTAGTTATAGATGTATTGGTACACATAGAAATAACTTATGGAATAATATTTATATATGTATACAATACAATCACATTGTTTGAAAGAAACAACGTCTTGTATTGCACTCTTCTTCCAAGCATGTTTTTAGCACCACAGTAGTATATTATTATCTAATTGTATTTTTTCAGATGTTAATTATGGGCGAAGTACTGTTTTCCTTATGACTCTTGGTGGTCACCAGAATTTAAAAACAATCTTCATTCTAGGCATTCAATGTTGTGCACTAAACATTTTAAGAAATCATCATTCATTGATAATTGTGGAAAGAGGCTATTCAAATCTGCAGTACCTGATGAGGAATGTGATAAGGTTAGTTAATCTCTCTTTTGTTACTATTTACATTTTTTTCTTTTGTGTGGCTTTTCTCATACTACAGTGAAAATATTATCTAGTTAACAAACGGTGGTAACAGATTGAGTGGTGATTTATAAGGGTATGCGAAATAACCTACCATTACTTCTCAACCATAAAAAAACAAAAGGTATAAACTTTAAAAAAAATATGTTGTCTTTTATTTAAAAAAAAAAAACCTTATCCATACTAGGATTTTCTCCTGTATTGTGGAGGTAGTTTACAAACATAAATTGGATAAGGACAAACATCCCCCGGCACAATTATTTATAGGGCATACAAATACTTATTCTGTGCAGCATTCGAACCTGTGACCTTTAGTGCCGCAAATCAATGCTAGCCACTGCACCGCGAGCTGTCAATGTTGTTTAAATGACATGATTATAATTTAGTTACTTACAGAATATATTTACAAATAAAAGAAATTGTTAATATAGAGTCTTAAAAATATGTGGTGTATTGTATATATGTGGTAATGGGTTAAAGCAACATTCATTAATAAAAACAAGTTGTATTTAATGTTTATAAATTTATAAGGCTGTTTGAAATTTAGAGATTGGTTGACCAATGCTGGGATACATGATATAAATAATGATTTGATAATCTCTAATTTTCAGATCACATTAGCTGACCTTAATTTGGAACAAAGGAATATCATTCAACATATTGCAGGTCCATCAACTAATAAACAACCACTGTCTGAAAATATTCAAAAGACTATAACTGTTCCAAATGTATTTGAGCCTGTTGCGGGCCCGTCAAAATTTATACAACCCTTGTGTGAGAATGTGAATTATAAGACCATTCCTGACAAAACTAGTGCTATTCCTCAAGTAACTGAGAATATCAACCCTGTTGCTGCTGCAAATCCATCCGCGAAAAACAAAAAGGATAAAGATATGTTGATAAAAATGAAATATCATCTGAGAAAAATTAACAGGCTTCAAAAAACTGTAAAGCATCTAAAGAATGAAGCATTTCTCAAAGTATTGAGCAAAAATGATTCAGTAAATGAAATATTAAAATGTAAAATATCCCCCTCTTTTGCATTATTTTTGCAAGGAGAATTGCAAAACTATAAAAAAATAATCAAAAGGTCGAAGATGGAACATAATATTTAAACATATGTCCACCCATTAAAATAATTATTAACTTAAAAAGGAACTAGGCTCTCCCAAGTACAAATTATTGTTTATTGTGTGATATGTGATATTTTTTTTGAGTTGTCTTGTAACATACTTTAAATCATATTTTTTTAATCCTAGTAGTAAGATCTTAAATTATGTGTTGTTTACAGGGGAACTCTCTTCAGAGGCTGTCACTACAGCTAATGTTATTGCAAATATGGACAAGCTGTTTGATTGTGTCAACGCATGCACACCAGACCTAAGAAGGGGGAAACCATTTTCGACAAACATGACAAATAATACACCACATCTCACACATTTCACTTTAATGAAGAAATTTTTTAAAGAAATGACGTTTTTGGGATGCTAACGAGCTCCTCCATCCCAAGAAGGTTGGATATGGTCCATCAATAAAATAGAACGAATCTGCAGTCAATAACAATAATATAACGAAAATAATTTCTACAAATGTAATATTATTGGTGACATCTATAATATAATCAGGTTATTGGAGTTTAGACATAATATTGCAAAGCTATTGCCTTGTTTGTAGAATGTGAAGGTAAATAATGTTTTCTTGTTAGAAAAAAATGTTTATATTAGATTGTCTAATCTTTTTTATATAAAACCAATGTACCTTTACTTTCAATTTTGCTTAAATGTCATGTTACATATGCCGTTTACTTAATAGGTGAAGTGATGAAGTAATTAGCTATAAACTAATACTCGTTGACACGTGTTTTAGCGAAGTTACGAGAATGCTTATTTCTTATACTTCGCTAAAACACGCCTACCTCTTAAAAATAGACTATTCTGCTTTACATAACTACTTAACTATTAAATCGATATTTAGTGAAGAGATGTTGAGAACTGTTTACATGCATAAAGTTAAAAATTTGTTAATTACTCCGTTACTTACGTCCATCAATGTACCAACGGTTTTTCTATGTACCAATGTAGACAAGTATGTAATGTAAATAAAAATTATGTATTTCAAAAACCACATTTACTTGAAAAATAGTTCCTTTTTTATATTAAAATGATTGCTAATCGTTTCAAAAGTGGTTTATGAATGTAAAGTACCATAATTTACAAATAACTTTGTGCTTTTGTTTTCGTTTTAATTTAGCAATATATATCATTGAAACGAAAAACTACAAGCTATATCTATCTATATGGTATTTTACATTCTTAAGCCATTTTTGAAACGAAACAACCAAGACGCCAACTAAAAAAAAAATCACGTATCAAAATTCCCGCGCAAAAAAGTTTTAGGGGGCACGACAGAGATGGCGTGCATTACGGGTGCCATTTTCTTTGTTTGAAGTTGACATTCTTCCCGTCTAAGGGTATTAGTGTTCTGTGTTATAACTTTACCTCTTTTGCCGGCTATGCTGCACGTAAAATACGAAACCTCCATTCACCACAAAAAAAAATGCTTGGTCTTCTTAAAGAAGCATGTGCACACATCACAAAGTATGATTGGATCAATGTAGTAGAAAAGATAAAGAAAATTATAACGGAAGACTTTAGAAGCGACGTACACTTTGACAATTTAATTGAAAATGAATTTATTATAAGGTTAACCGATGAAGATAGTTCAACTGATGTTAATTTTTCTGGATCATCCAGTGACGAAAGTGAATAAAATGTTACGAATTCAGTGAATTTATTTATTTACCTGACCCAACCACACTTATTTATTGTTAATTTTATTCTTGACTAGCGACCCGCCTCGGCTTCGTACTGGTGCATGTCAGTGGCGTGCCTACATAATATACAATGTATTATTATACGTAAACCTTCCGGAATAAATCAGTATGTCGGGTTTTAGTTTATGTCTTGGCTTTGAAACTGGCTCAAATTTAAACTTAGTTCGGATTTATGTAATAACTGTTAAATATTATAAACTCTTACACGTATTAAGGGGCTACTCCATGCGAACGACCTTGAGCATTTGAGTTTGACCGGCGCGCCGCTCGCTACAATATATTATTGCGTAAGAAATATGTAAGACGCTACCTATTGTACGAACGTAGTATTATTTTTTCAACATCAATAAACTATTTTATGGAAATACACACAGCGTACAAAGACAAATGTATTTTAATTTTTTTATTCGGTATATATTAGTTGCATTATATTAGAATTATGTATTTTCATATATTATCTAATTATGAAATTTTATAATTAATTATATATTAAAAATGAAGCATTGAAAATTGTGAGTTTAAAAGATACCTATTCACTATAGGTAAATAAATAGATAGCTCGGCTTTTGTACAAATATTTGGTGCAATAAAAAATAAATAAATAAATAGGATGTTTCGCAGATGTGTTTTTGATTATTGTTAATTTTTACGTGTCACGTATTGAAAAGTAACATACCTACCTACTAATTTTTGAACTGAGCACCTTGTAACTTAGCCTGCTTATTACTTATGCTGGCAAACATTATCCTCACCCCAATGATTGATGAGGATGAAAATCAATTTTAGTTCTAAATACGTAATTATATTTATTTATACATAAGGGTAACTTTAATAAAGGTAATACAAAAATCAACAAGAAGTATAAGGGTTCGATCTTTCAATTTCAATTGTAAAAACACGTTACCTCCACACTAGAATTTTCTCCTGAGTCGTGGAGGTAGTTTACAAACATAAATTGCACAAGGACAAACATCCAGACCCGGTACAATTATTTGTAGGCCATACAAATACTTGTTCCGTGCGGGATTCGAACCCGCGGCCCCCAGCGCAACAACTGATTGCTAAGTCACTGTGCCACGGAGCCGTCGCCGGGTTATAGCTAAAGTGACCATACGTCCCGTTTTGAACGGGACTGTCCCTTTTCTCGGTCACCTGTCCTACTGTCCCCAAACAAAGCTCCGGGACACAAAATTGTCCCGTAACTCGTTGGATGGAGGTATTCAAAGTTAACAACCTTCAACATAATTCTTTTTAATCGAATATATTTTATGTCTACCTAGTACAAATGCTCCAGTAGAAAGAGTATTTTTCTATTTTGAATAAATTGTGGACATCTGAAAAAAACACTTACTGTTTCAGTTCTAAAGGCGATGTTGTTAACAAAGGTAACAATAAAAAAACTTGAGCAGAATTTTATTCTTATTTAAAATTATCACCAACTTTATTAAAGCTAATTTAATCCACTGATAAATGTAATTAATAATTAAAAAAAATATGTTGCATTTAATAATTACCGTCTATACCGAATATAATTTTATATTGAACACTAATTGTATAAAGTTATAGTTTTTAGAGTATAAATAAACCCATGTCCTGTTTTGAGTTAAAAAATAAATGGTCAGTTTAGTTTTTTTTTTGTTAAATTTAGTTGTAAATTTTTTTTAGTTTATAGTAAAAAGTAGGTATATTAATACCTACTTAGATACTTTTTACCGAATTAGGGTGGAAGCCCCTAATACCAGTCATGCCCCTAATTCCAGTCTTTTCGCCTTTTTACTCCATAAATAAGATTTCTAGTAGTCTTAACTACAAATATTGTCATCTAAAAAATTCTTTGTACCTAGAGGAAAGTATATTTATTCAAATATTACCTCGCAGTTTTAAACCTAACAGTGTTAAAATCAAAACAGGTACGCAAGGAAAAACGATCATTTTCCTAATTATTTGACAAGTTATGATTCCGGTAAAATTATGCTTACTTTACATTATCTCATATATAGGCTTTTTGATTTGTATGAAGATAACTATAGACATAGTAATGCAGTTATTTTTGTTTGAATTTACAAGTTATTTATTTTCTTTTAGTGGAAATTAATGGGGCTGTAATTAGATAATATAAGAAATGTATGTAGTGCATAATGTCAGCCGCCCGGCTGTTATTTGTTTTGACGTACCTAATAAGAATTACCTAATTTTGAGCCACGTAATATAAATCAGGGCTGCCATAAACTGGAATAAATACCATTAATTAGATCGAAATAGAGATAGAAAAGCTAGTACATCTTTTCTCTCTGACATTCGGCGTATAGAACACCTTATGTACTCAATTATTTTTTGAAAAAGAAGAAAAAAAAACAAGCAATAGATAATATACTATATTTTAGCAAAAAACTATAACTTAGTAATACTAATTATAACTTAGAACATAAATGAAAAACTCATAACTGACTTTTTGGCCCGACTCGGGATTCGAACCCGAGACCTCATGATCAGCAGTCGCACTACTACAACCACTAGACCAACGAGGCGGTACTATACCTAATAAGATATTGTGGTTGGGTATTAGGATTATTTTTAACTGTATACTATACTGATAATATTGAATTAGCCTTTTATAGTGTAAATTATAATATTTGTCGAAATGTTAATTATGGTTTCGAACCTTACATGCTAATGGTGCTTCATTTTTTTATTTGCATTTACAAAGAAAATACACGCAAAAAGCTTCATCGCGCAGTAAAAAACACAACAAATATATGTATAACTAATACGAAAAGTTATACCCAAAACAAACAAATATTACTACCTATAAATAACCTAATAAGTAATAATATTATAATATTATCGACTGATAAGATGACATGACATGAGCGTGTGCGCTGGCAGACGCTCTAACGACACGGGTTCCACGTGTAAGAGCTCAGCGCTCACTGACTCCAGCAAGCCCGTGGGCGTGGGCAGTGAATACGCCCAGATTTTAAAATAATTTCTTAATAAAATCAAATTTTGGTCTTTAGAAAAAATTTTGTAATAGAAATGTTCATTAATAAATTGCCTATCCATTGGTGTAAATCGCAAAGTAAATTAATACTTACTTTACGAGGAGATGCATGTTATCAATAATAATTTCACATTTATGTGGTTTCGTTGTAAGGAGATTATATTAATATTTATTACTTTACTGCCGTGTAGTGGCGGTCAAGAATATCCACTACCCCATATCCTTCCGTGGGTGTCGTAAAAGGCGACAAAGGGAAACAGGCAGGAGATGGGCAGCAGCATCTTCCGGATAATAGCCAAAATTACAATAAAAAAACTGCGGTTGCCAACCCGCTCGCCAAGCGTGGCAACTATGGCAAATACCCCCCAATGGTTAAAGCAGCAAACAGACGGCCCTCAATCCCCGGCGGCCCCGCTATTCCTGGCTACGGTGGCGACCATGGTAACGGCGGGGCAGGGGGTGCTAAGAATCTCCGGTGGAGGTTCGGTTGCCACCTTAGACGACTCGACCTGGCAACGTACAACGCACGCACACTGAGGACTGACGAGAAGATCGTGGAGCTGGAAGAAGAGATAGACAAGTTGCGCTGGCATATTATAGGATTATCCGAAGTCCGAAGAGAGGGGGAGGACACGGTAATCCTTGAATCCGGCAACTTGCTCTATCACCGGGAGGGCGACCATCTGTCCCAAGGAGGTGTCGGATTTATCGTCCACAAGTCTCTCGTTAACAACGTTGTAAAGATCGGGAGTGTGTCGACGAGGGTTGCGTACCTTATACTCAGAATCACCAAACGGTATTCGCTGAAGGTCATACAGGTTTACGCACCAACCTCGGCACACCCCGATGAGGAGGTGGAGGAAATGTATGAGGATATCTCTACAGCCATGCATTCCTCCAAAACCCAATATACGGTGTTAATGGGAGACTTCAATGCAAAACTAGGCACAAGAGAGAACGGTGAGCTGAAAGTAGGGAAATTTGGAATAGGGCAACGGAACCAAAGGGGCCAGCAGCTGGCCGACTTCATGGAGAAAGAGGGACTCTTTATGATGAACTCTTTCTTCCAGAAGCGGCTCGACAGGAAGTGGACCTGGTTGAGCCCCGACGGTTCGACAAAAAATGAGATTGACTTCATTATGACGACCAGACGACAACTGTTCAGTGATGTCTCCGTGATCGCGAGGGTGAAAACTGGTAGCGATCACCGAATGGTTAGAGGCACACTGAACCTAAACGTTAAGTTGGAGAGGTCTCGTCTAATGAAGTCAACGCTCCGTCCCCCTCGTGCTCTGTTCCAAAGTACCTAGAAGACTGCAATGAAGTGGATGATATAAATGACAAGCTCGTGGAAACTGTCCATGCGGTCGGAGCTAAGTTCTGCAAGACCCGCCGCAGAAGAACACAAAAACTCTCCGATCACACTCTAAATCTCATGGCTGTTAGACGAGATATGAAGCTACATTCTTCAACAGACTTGACAGCATACAGGCATCTGAACAGACAGATCTCCAAATGCATGCGGCGGGACTTACGCAACTTCAATACAGCTCGTATTGAAGAAGCGATCGAGCGGAACCAACGCTCTAAAGTCTTTGCCAGAGATCTGTCTGCCAGAAAGAGCCAACTGTCAAAGCTGAAGACGGAATGTGGCAGCATCGGTTCCGGGACACCTGAGATTTTGAGTGAGATTGAGAGGTTCTATGGGCAGCTGTACACGTCATCGTTGGAGCCACACGCAAGTGTGAGTAACGATCCAAGAGCGAGTCTCATCCGACACTATTCCGAAGATATCCCGGAGGTCAGTCTAAGCGAGATTAGAATGGCTCTCCAGCACCTTAAAAACAGCAAGTCCCCGGGCGAGGATGGAATTACAGCGGAGCTTCTGAAAGCGGGTGGAAGACCGGTACTTGAAGTCCTTCAGAAGCTCTTTAATTCCGTCCTCCATG